TGCAACTTTACAGATCTTCTTTATGCACCAAGAGCTTGTAACACTCCAAAGAGAAAGGAAAACTTGAAATCGCATCATATGACCCCTTTAAGATTTGTTCCTTTGTGGTTTCTAACCAAACAGGATAACAAACCCTTTTCAGAAGCTTATTGTTAGGCTTGGTGTTTATGAAGTGGATGTGTTTTTTTATAGAGCTGTGATGGTTCCTGTGGTGGTGAGCATCAGAATAATTCTTCTTCCTTCTCTAAACGTTCTGCTCTTGACATCCGGTGAGTCACAGTTGTTATAGTGCTGTAAGTAAGTAAGTGTTTTTAAAGCATGTATTGAGTATCCATTCTACACTTCTTCAGTCAGGGAACGGCCCGCCAATCAGAAACATTCTCAGCCTGTCAATCATTTTTGCTGACATTGGGTTGGCTGATATTTAGAGGGCGGGACTTTGGAGAGAGTGTGTGCTTATGTTAGCAAATTGGCTGAAATAACTGACAGCACCTTTAAATGGTTGATACGTCGCTTTTCAGTTTTCACAGTTCTGTGTCAGTGTGATTATTTCTGCAACACCCTTCTGCATGACTTTTTACATTTCTCACACCACAAGTTATCCATCCTGATAGATATTGTTTAGCTGCATTAACAATTAATTCAAGCTTGGCCATTCATCTTCTATGTGTTTTATGTTGCAGGAGTTCTTGGAGAAGACTGGAATGTGAATTATGAAACTGATTCAATATGTGCTCCTAAAGGATCCACAGTAAACATGTCATGCTCATACGGATACCCTGAGCAGTATAACTTGATAGATACATTTTGGATAAAGAAGCCAGATGTAGAGATCAAAAGTTTAAAAGAATATCCTGAGTATAAAGACAGGGTTGAATACATTGAAGACAGACAAAGCAAAACTGCCATCCTCAGACTGCACAACATCACTGAAAATGATGAGAGAGAGTATTGTTTCAGATTTGTAACTGAAACTGAAACAAAAAAATGGATTGGTAAAGAAGGAATTCATCTTAATGTTTCTGGTAATCCATTTCTATCCTTTATTTCTATTATGCATTTAACAAAAGTTAGTAGTTTTAGAACATGCTTAGAAAGATCGTACCTTTATGTTTGCCAAAACTGTACATAATATCAGACAGTAGACATGTTTTCTCCAGCTCTTCAGGTAAAGGCACCACAGCTGGTGCTGGAGAAACAAACAGTCGGTCTGATCTGTGAAACCACATGCAGTCTGACAGATGCATTCATCTGGTACAAAAATGGAGAGGCTTTAAAGATCCACAGCAAAACACTCCAGCTTCAGTCAGAGCGCAGTGATTCTGGCCGTTACAGCTGCGCCGTCAGAGGACATGAACACCTGCCCTCTCCTGCTGTCAGCATCACGCTCATATGTGAGTAGAACAGCATTAAAGAGTTAGAGGAGTGGCCTGTGTGTCTTTAATCTGAAATCCCAGCCAATCAGAGAGCAGTTTGGTTGTTTAGCGTGGTCTAGTCTGCCCCCTGCTGGAGGATGCTGTAATTACTCTTGCTTCAAGTTCAAATCGGGGGAAGTGAATCAGTGCTATATGCACAAATACTTTTTTTGTCAAACAAACAAATGAAGATGAAATATGACTAAAATTAATACCATACTGATTTACCTCTAGATCCTCCAAAGAGCGTCTCAGTGTCCATAAATGGATCTGGTGAAATAGTGGAGGGAGATTCAAGATTATCTTATTTGCTTACATTAGTCTTTCTAAAGTGAAGCAAATGAATGTGTTCTGATATTTTGCTCTGTTATCTCAGTTGTAGGGCGTTTGGTGATATTGTACATAATCATTGGAGTGATTTGTGGAGCTGCAGTTGGCATCATGATTTTTCTAATTTGGTAAGATGTCCAAAATCTCTCACATGAAGTATTTAAAAACTATTATATACTACTGTGAGGATTTACGGAGAGGTAGTGAAAAAATCTGTGATGAAAAGGCATGGACACAGTTATTTTTGCCACTGTGACCTTATTGCATGTGTATTTGTAGGAGTTTCCCTTTCAGACACAACATTTATGAGAGGAGAGTATTTAAATGAATCATGCAAGGTGATTTACTAAGGTTTGCGGTAGTCAGTTTCTTGGTGTTTGCGGCACTATTTAACACCCAAAAAGCATGTCTGAACCCATCCTGGTAGATTGCGTTGGCCGTTATGGAAATACATCGTCAGTAAATCAAATGCATAACTTTCCACTCCCATCAGTGCTTGATTGCGCTCTCATGCTAATCTGCTCTGTTTAGTAAATCTGGCCCCAAATATTCTTATTGGTTGCACTGATTCATTTATGTTTGTAACTGTTGGACAGACAAATTGCTTGAAGCTGGAAACATTTCATGTTGCGTCCGCTCATAATAATGTTATACAGACGTTTTTGTTTCCCACTGATTTTATAATCAGCTGTTGACACTTTGTTGTACAAGAACATAATTCTACCCACTGTTATATTCATTGTTTTTAAGGAGAAGCAGGTGGATGAAAAACATAAGCGACTCAGTGGAGTCTCAGGTGAGAAAATGGGTTTGGTTATTTATAGTTTACTGATCATGGAGATGAACTGGCAACTCAAAAATGCATGAATCAAGTTGTTTTTGGCCATTAGTTATTTATGATCACTCTACTCTGTTTTTCAATGGCAAAGATGAATCATTCCAGACCTCATCATGACAGACATAAAGCTTGTGATGTGACTGAACCTGTGTATGACAATGTAACGGTAAGCGTTCCTCATTCATGAAAGACTAAACCCTGTTCACCTTTAGCCAGAGGAAATTAAATCCTCTTCAGTGTCAGTGTGAAACTGCCAAATGTCTGTTGAATAAGTATATGGAAATTAATATAACACAAAAAGCTTGTTTGAAGTAAATTATTTATGAATGAATTCATTCATTTTCTTTCTTTCGTTCAGCTTTCAGCTTGACAGGAAAAGGCTGTAGAAGCTCACCATTGCGAGCTTAATGGTTTTACAAAATAATGTTTGGTATCTCAAAAGTCCTGTTGTAGCCATTTAAGAAAGTGTATTTTTATTTGATATTATTTATGTTTAAATATTATTTGTTTGTGTTTTGTTTAGTTCAATTTGTTAATTAAGAAAGGAAATTGTAAACGTCATAAGGGCGTGGTAAATCGGACGGCAGTACGCCGGAAGAAAGACATAATTTTTTGACCACTTCATACGTTTTTGTTTGTAGAATCCCCTTTTTTTTTGGAACGAGTTTCGCTTGGTATAATTTGTATCTTAATTTTAATATGTTTTTTTTGTTGGTCAATTATTTACCTAAATAAATAAGAATAATGAATACACGTTTCATGGAATGAAGTGCGTTCAAGACAAAGCCCGCTACCATGCTTCCGCGGCCAAAACAAGTCCTTTAATGCAGCCTGAATCTCCTGTTTGAATGTTAGATTCCTGTTCATTACAAAGACATTCATGCATTGACATACATGTACAGCTTCTTTAAAATGATTGTGAAATGCCATACAAATAAAACAGTCTTGAATTGACATTTACAGTAAAGGCAGTAGGTCATTTTACAAATATGGAGAAGTTTTTTTGTTTTTAAATTACATACAAAACACATTTGCATAGAAACTGGAAGTTATTATAATCACTGACAGATTATCTTAACTTGTCTAACATGTTCGAAACTCAACATTTGCTCTTTGTGTACTGCTGATGAAAGCCGCTGCGAACAAGGTATGAGAGTTTTTACATGTTATTTAACGAAGAGCTTGTACATTTCAAATCTGAATGTCAATTTAAGGTATGTAAATATGTGACGAATAAAGAAATAGATTATAACAAACCTTTTTAGATGCTGGACTTTAACTACAAATCCAGAGTCATACAGGATTAAATATCGTCTGATCACTGATATTCATGAAGTGTCTGTGGATCTCTGACACAAATGATCTGATATAATAAACCTCTTTAATAGAGCAACTCATACAGTAAGCCTCTGTTGGACAACAAATGAATTGCAACAAATAAATTATTTTATTAAAGACAAATGACCTATGAATATCATTATACTAATGTGCATCACTAACATAGAGTGACAGTGATTATTACTGTCCTGTATACTGTACCTATAACTCTTTTCTCATTTGTTATGGCTGTGAAGATTGCAGTGGTGGTGAAGGTCAGAATGGCTCTTTCTCTTCCTCTCGTCTTTCTGCTCATGATTTCTGGTGAGTCACAGTTGTTACAGCATCTCTTTAAAATGCTTTCTGCAATATTAAACATTAAATATCCCTTATACTCAAGCAGCCCCTCTTCAGCAGAATCAGAAATGCTCTCAGCCTTGTAATCAGTTTTTAGAGTTCTGCAACATCGTGATAATTTGTGCTTTTTTGCAAAACCTTTACTCATCTGCAGGTCTTGTAAACACTTCTCACTTCGCAAAACGGAATGATATTGTTTAGCTACAAATGAGCAAATGCAAGCTTTACACTGATCTTCTATGTTTTGTGTTTCAGGAGTTTTTGCACAATCCTGGAATGTGATTTATGAAACTGATTCAATAAAGGATCCACAGTAAACATGTCATGCTCGTATACATACCCTCAGCAGTATACATTAATTAATACATTCTGGATAAAGAGACTGGATGGAGATAAGATAAATTTAAAAGCATATCCAGAGTATAAAGACAGGGTTGAATACATTGAAGACAGAAAAAGACAAACTGCCATCCTCAGACTGCACAACATCACTGAAAATGATGAGAGAGCGTATTGTTTCAGATTAGTAACTAATCCTGAAGGACAAAAATGGTTTGGCCAACCAGGAATTCAACTTAAAGTTTCTGGTAATCCACTTCACTCACTTCTGTTAATAATTTCATTCCTTGGTCATGGTTAGATAGACGTGTTTTCTCCAGCTCTTCAGGTAAAGGCACCACAGCTGGTGCTGGAGAAACAAACAGTCGGTCTGACCTGTGAAACCACATGCAATCTGACAGACGCATTCATCTGGTACAAAAATGGAGAGGCTTTAAAGATCCACAGCAAAACACTCCAGCTTCAGTCAGAGCGCAGTGATTCTGGCCGTTACAGCTGCGCCGTCAGAGGACATGAACACCTGCCCTCTCCTGCTGTCAGCATCACTGTCGTGTGTGAGTAGATACTTTTCCCACTCAAAATAAAGAAAACATAAAGAGAATTAACTTTAAGGTTTAGATGTAAAATCTACTATTGAAGATGGAGATCAGACTTCTACTGCAGTAGTTTTTTTCTTTTTCTTTTTAATAATAAAATATAATATATCTAATATAAAAATCACAACAGCCTAGGCAGTCACCTTTCCTGCAAAGAAAAAAATTGCATGTAAGGTGAAAGTTATCTTAAAGATCTGCAATGATCTTGAGGTGATAGTGATAAGAAACCTACTGGAAAACCATGTTGATTTACCTCTAGATCCCCCACAAAGTACCTCAGTGTCCATCAGTCCATCTGGTGAAATAGTGGAGAGAGATTCAGTGACTCTGAGCTGCAGCAGTGATTCAAACCCTCCTGCAGAAATCAGCTGGTTTAAAGAAGATACATTTCTGAAATATGGTGACACCTACAGCATCACTGACATTAAGTCTGAGGATAGTGGAAACTATTATTGCTCTGCAAGAAATAAACACGGATCTCAGGCCTCTGCTGCTGTGACTGTGAATGTCATGTGTAAGTCTGCCTTAACTTTTGATCAGATCTGGTTGATTATTTGCTCAATTATTTATCCCTGATAGCACACGCACATCACGGAGACGTCTATTTGACGTCTGCATTTACATCTGCAAAACATATTTTTTAGAGTGTTTGCTCATCTGCAATATGTCTATTGGACGTTTCCTAGCAGATGTTAAATTGATGTTATAAAAATGTGATTTAGAATGCATTTAAAACTGACATCTTAAAGACGTCTATCAGATGTTTGTACACATCAGATGCTTTCAAAAATGAAGCGATCTTTAACAGACATCTTGCAGACGTACCTGTGCTATCTGGGATTTGTGTTACTGCATGTCATTTCACTTTTTGTCTTTTTAGATCCTCCACAGAACGTCTCAGTGTCCAGAAATGGATCTGGTGAAATAGTGGAGGGAGATTCAGTGGCTCTGAGCTGCAGCAGTGATTCAAACCCTCCTGCAGAAATCAGCTGGTTTAAAGAAGATACATTACTGGGATCTGGTGACACCTACAGCATCACTGACATTAAGTCTGAGGATAGTGGAAACTATTATTGCTCTGCAAGAAATAAACACGGATCTCAGGCCTCTGCTGCTGTGACTGTGAATGTCATGTGCAGTCTCTGTTAAAGGTATTTTCTATGCAGAGACACTCCTGTGCTTGTCCTCTTTAAAGGGTGAAGTCTCCACTCCCTAACTACATCTATCATCCCTATGTTTAAAGACATTAATATAAATAAACAATCTTGTTATTTCCTTTCCTCTTACGTGCTTGGAATATCATGTATATCATTGCTGTCTGTGTCACTACTGCATTTGCAGCTGGATTTGGGCTTTTGTTTCTCATCATCGTCATTGTGCACAAAAGGTCGGTGAGCAGAATATAACATAACATATTTAAACATATGAATTTTAGCATTCAGAAACTTGACTGATTCTCTGATTTTACTGAATCAAAAATGGTCTTTTTTTTAAAGGTATTTTTAGGTCTGAGCAGTGAAAATAAAAAAAATTAACTATTTTAAAGCGACATTCTTTATCTACAAATGTTATTTTTTTTGTAATGTTTCAGACAATTTTTACAGTTTTATCAACTTTTATATATGCATTTGTCCTCATATATTTATCAACAGAACTAAGAAAAGAAATATTGACTCTAAGGACACTGAGCAAAAAAAGGTGGGTAATATTCTACAAAAAAAACTTATAATGTCTTGGTAGTAAATTACCTGTATTTTCTGTTAAATAAACAAACAAACAAACATTTCCTTTAACCTCAATACACAAACCCATGCAATGCATAATTCAAAATATGAGTAAATCACCTGAAAAAAATTATGAAATTACATGAATTTATATGAGTTTCTGTAGATAGCAATGTTAATTATCATACATCTTTAAACATTACAAATGTGCAGAGCTGAATGTTCATGGATGGCAGTAAAATCACAAAAGAATGTCCAGTTTATGCCACAATGATTCTGTTGCAGACGTCTGCAGGAAAGGCCTCTGAATCCGGAGATGCCGAAAATGCTTCTGTCCAAGATGGCAGAGATACAGACACAAAGAAACCTGAAGAGGAGGAGATTGAGTACGCCAGCATTACAATTCACCATCCTGCTTCTGAAGCCAAGTGAGAAAACATGAGTTATTCTGTCTTAACAGAAGTGCAACAGCGCCAGAAAGTATATAATAAACCAACAGATCACAGTATTGTTACATGCATTAAAGTCCAGTCCTTGCACAACACCTTTAAAAGTCTGCGTAGTTTCATCAAGATTCATACTCTGGGATGATCTCACTCTCATTTATGTATTTGTCATTTTTGCAGATCTGCTGCAAGCCAAGAGATGGATTTATCTGTGATTTACAGCAGCGTCAGATGATCTAGACTGATCTATGTAGATCCAGACAATCATAAAACTTTTTCTTGCTTTGGTATTTTTTGTTTCATTTAATCAGGTTTTTGAGTGTGCGTTGTTTAAGCGTATGTGGCACCATCTTAGTTAAAACTCTGATGCCTTACATCTCTTGTAAACCAAAGCCAACTAAACAAGCAAACTCATAGTGTGGTCCATGTAGTGTGAGGCATCTGTGATCTCTCTCTCTCTCTCTGTATAATGTCATTTAAAGGTTTTGCCATTTTGCTTCTCATTCAAGATGCAGCTTAAATGTAATTTTGAAAAGTAAAATACACAAGCTTTTATTTATGTGTGTCTAAATCAACACCATGAGCACTGCAGGAACATGAAGACGTCAGACATGGCGATCATGGTGAGAGTCCTGACACCTGCTCTGTGGGCAAAACTCACCTTTTCAGAATGTATTGCCATATTTCATGTGCTAAAAAAAAGGTACAAACACTTCAGTGATTTCAGAGTCTTCCCTTGAATTTAATACTGGGTCGTGAATATCACGTACTTCTCACATGTTTAGTAAATTGCTAAAAATATTTGTGAAAAAAAATAAACCTACCATAATAATACTAAAACTAAAGAGTGTGACAACTAACCCCATTCTCCAGAAATATGTATCAATGTTTTTGGATTTGACTTGCTGATTGAAAGCGCAAAATTATTATATTTAAAGGCCATTTAAAGCAGATATTATTTGTGACAGCTTTTGTACCTTTTTTTTCTGAGAGTGCGAGGATGAACATAAGATTTTATTTTTGATACATATGTTCAGTTCTTCTCTAGAATATGCCTGAGATACCGACATCAGATCAACTTTTGGATGTATCCTTCACTGCTTATGATATCTCACAATTCTGTGCTTTTGCAGGGCTGCCAATGATGGTTGTTTTGTAAAAAAAAAAACTAAAAAAAAAAACTTTTGTCTGACAGCTATACCTAGTAGTTAACGGTATGAGGACTGGTACTGTGTTTTTATCATAAAATTATGTAAACTAATGCTGCAAAACAAATAACTTTTGACCTCAATGAGAATAAGTACTGCATTTCAAAAATATTTTGATATTAAAAATTAAAATATTTGTATTAATCTATCAGTTTGCATTTACATTGCTTAATGTGCATCTGTTTTGACAAACTATATTTTTCTCCATTGCTGTGGTTATCACTTGTCAATTATTGCCATTTCGAAAGTGAAATCTCACATTTTATACACTCTAAAAAATGCTGGGTTGAATACAACCCAGTGCTGGGTAAAATAGGGACAAACCCAGCAATTGGGTTGTTTTGACCCAGCGGTTGGGTTAAATGTTTAACCCAACCTTCTGGGTTGTAACCCAACCGCTGGGTCAAAACAACCCAATTGCTGGGTTTGTCCCTATTTTACCCAGCACTGGGTTGTATTTAACCCAGCATTTTTTAGAGTGTAGAAGAGATGAGAGATTTAGATTTTTATGTCCCTATTGTACCCAGCACTGGGTTGTATTTAACCCAGTATTTTTTAGTGTATAAGAGATGAGAGATTTAGATTTTTATTCAAATTCTGGTTGCACTTTATTTTACAGTACGTGTACTTACAGTGTACTTACCTAAGAAAGTTCTGGAAATACAAGGTAACTACATGGGTTAGGGTTAGGGGTAGGTTCAGGGTTAGTACACTCTAAAAAATGCTGGGTTGTTTCAACCCAACTTTGGGTCAAATATGGACTAACCCTACTTTTGGGTTAAAAATGTAATGTAAAAATGGACTAACCCAACTTTTGGGTTAAAAATGCAATGTAAAAATTTAACCCAACGGTTGGGTTAGTCCATATTTGACCCAAAGTTGGGTTGAAACAACCAAGCATTTTTTAGAGTGTACCTAGTTATTACATAGTTATTGTAATTACTATAATAAGTATATAGTATGTACATGAGGAACAGGACTGTAAAATAAAGTGCTACCCAAATTCTGAACGGATTAGTGAAGTGCGCAAAGAGTGCTTCCTTTATAATCAATAAAAAGCTGTCACTCACTTCAGTTCATCCCGATCTCACAAAGTTATGCTATAATCAATGAAGCTCTACACTGAACCTCTTATTCACATTGCGAGAGGATTTGCGAGAATGCAGAACTCTTGTGTTTTGAGCGGTGAGTAAATTCTGACTAACTTGAATGCAGTGGCCAATCAGATGTGTTCAAGAAATCAACAGAAATGTCTGCGATTGGCTCGGTCTGGCGCTGAATGCGTGAGAGTTGGCAGCCCTGGCTTTTGATTCCATGACAGATGAGCTAAAAAAATAAAATCCTGTCTGAAAGTTGCGTTTGGTGGTCAGATTGTAATGTGTGTCTTTGACCAACTCTTTCCACTTTTGATTTAAATTCTACAGAGAAATTAACATCATAATAATGAATAATAAGATCTTTTGCATGAAAAGAGGAAGTGTTTTGCCCACTGCCAATTCTGTTTAACACGTCTGTTCTGTCTTCAAACTCACCATTTGCTCTTTGCGCACCGGAGAAGAAAGCTACTGCGAACAAGGTATGAGAGTTTATTTGATAAAGAGTTTGCAAAATGTAGAGATGTGAAAGAGAAGAAACTGATTTTAGCTTTTGGGCCTAAATGTCTGTGTTTATGGGTGGGCTGTTCTAATAGTTGAGCTTTGAGTAGGTTAGACCATACAGGCAGGGCTGGATTTACGCATAGGCATTCTAGGCAAGTGCCTATGCTTGCTCGTCCAGGGGGGCCCAAACACAATGAAGAGATATATAATATTTTTTGTTATACTATGGGATATTAACAGTAAAAGAACCAAAAACCCCAGAAGACATTGAGCAAATAAATATAACAAACAAGGTGGTAAAAATGACAAACTATTTCCATGTCTTCAACCTTTTTATGTACGGAAATCATGCTTTCTTTCTCCCCCCTTCTCTCTCACAGATGCACACACAGTACAGACACGCACTCGCGCACACATATAACACGAACAGAAACTTGTTGTCAGAGCTGCGGCTGCCCCGCGAATTTATCAATAAAATAGTTTCGCATTTTTCAGTAGCGTTAGTAGAACCCCATATGACATCTTTACTGTTTGTCCCCACTGAGGACAAGCCTTTTTTAAACAAGAGATAAATGTGACCCTGGACCCTGGAGCACAAAAGCAGTCTTAAGTCGCTGGGGTATATTTGTAGCAATAGCCAAAAGAACTTCATTTGGACAACTTTAAAGATGATTTTCTCAATATTTTGATTTTTTTGCACCCTCAGATTCCAGATTTTCAAATAGTTGCATCTCGGCCAAATATTGTCCTATCCTAACAAACCATACATCAATGGAAAACTTATTTATTCAGATTTCAGATGATGTTAATTTAAAAAAATTGACCTTTTTTACTGGTTTTCCAGGGTCACAAATTATGTGATAAAATATTGTTTCTTTAAAAACACCATGACATCCAGAAAAATCATCCAGAACGTAACTATTTCAAAAACACTAATCACATGATGTTCAGATCAAAAACGTGTAAAACATCACCATGGGTGCATAAAAGAGGACGCTTCTTTATTAAGTTTGATGAATAAGTTCAGGAGACACCAAATTGTTTAATTTGCAAACTTGTAGGCATTGAATACCGTAATGAATATGACTTGTTAAGACAAGCTCGTAACATACGTGACCAAACAGTTTTAACACCTTCACGTCTCTCACAATTTTAACAGAGGTTTGGGTGTTAGTGAGTCGGCAGGACAGTTTCTGAGAAGCAGAACTGTTACTTTGAACTAAACAAAGGGGATAACAAACCTTTTCAGCTTTCACGCTTTATTGCTTTTGATTTAAGAGTCAGAGTATAGGATTATGAATACTTATGGGATTATTTTGATTATATGTAGATTTGATTATTACAGTATACTGCACTAAACTGTAGTCTTCTGTATTAGGTCTTTGATGATTAGTGATGAAGGTCAGAATGATCCTTCCTTTTCCTCTAATCTTTCTGCTGATGGCCTCTGGTGAGTTATAATTGTTACAGTTATAATTGTGTGTATACATTATAATTATTATTATTTTTTACCATACATAAACTATCTGAATGCTACAACAGAAATTAAACCCTAACCCTAACCAATTAGAAAGACCTTTATCCATGCCCCTTACCTTTCGGCACGCCCTAATCTTTCACCAACCCCACTGCTCCAGCCTGCAGTTATACCTACTTGGAAATCGCTTTAAATTCAGCACCTTTAAAAGGCTGATGTGTTCAGTTTGCACATTTCTGCTTTTCTGCAACACCCTTCTGCGGGACATTTGACACTTTTCACACTTTTCACACTGTGCATGTCATCCGTCTAGCAAAAGACTTTATTCAGCTACATGTACAAATAAGTCAAGCTTTGCTGCTCTGTGTTCTGTGTTGCAGGAGTTTTAGGGGAAGACTGGAATGTGGATTATGAGGCTGATTCAATATGTGCTCCTGCAGGATCCACAGTAAACATGTCATGCTCATACAGATACCCTGAGCAGCTTACATTGACAGATACATTTTGGATAATGTGTGAGAAACAGGAGACAGAGATCAAAAGTTTAAAAGAATACCCCAAGTATAAAGACAGGGTTGAATACATTGTAGACAAAGAGAAAAAAAAGGCTGTGCTCAGACTGCACAACATCACTGAAAATGATGAGAGAGCGTATTGTTTCAGATTAGTAACTGAAACTGACGGAAAAAAATGGATTGGTAAAGTAGGAGTTAAACTGGCTGTTTCGGGTAATCCACTTCACTTCTTCATTTCCATAATTTATTTGACAAAAAAAAAAAAATATATATTTCTTACAGTAGCTTTATGACTGTTTGAAAGTGTAGATCTCTAATTTTGCCAAATTATCATTATTTGTACAAAATATCAGACATTAGACGTGTTTTCTCCAGCTCTTCAGGTAAAGGCACCACAGCTGGTGCTGGAGAAACAAACAGTCGGTCTGACCTGTGAAACCACATGCAATCTGACAGACGCATTCATCTGGTACAAAAATCGACAGACTTTAAAGATCCACAGCAAAACACTCCAGCTTCAGTCAGAGCGCAGTGATTCTGGCCGTTACAGCTGCGCCGTCAGAGGACATGAACATCTGCCCTCTCCTGCTGTCAGCATCACTGTCGTGTGTGAGTAGATATTTAGTCACTCTCTGCCTGTCAGACCAATGGCTGAAAGGTTTGGCTGGTCAGCATGGCCTCTTCAGCCCTCTGCTGGTAGATGCTGTAACTACACTATCTGACTGCAAAGAGCATCTTTGTTCATTGACAGCCATTCAAAGTAAGCCATGTATTTTGACTTCTTTGTTGTTTTGAAAAAAGATATATGCGGCTTTCTCCAGGTATTTGACTTAATAGTGTAATCAGGACATGTTGCTGAAGATAGATAAGATATGCTTACAATAACATTTAAGATCTAGTTCCAACTTTGTTTTGTGGCCAATACTGGTATCTTCAACTGATTTCTGATCAGTAATGACTCCAAATCATCTGTACACTTTTAGATCCTCCACAGAATGTCTCAGTGTCCAGAAATGGATCTGGTGAAATAGTGGAGGGAGATTCAGTGGCTCTGAGCTGCAGCAGTGATTCAAACCCTCCTGCAGAAATCAGCTGGTTCAAAGGAGAAACATTACTGGGATCTGGTGACACCTACAGCATCACTGACATTAAGTCTGAGGCCAGTGGAAACTATTATTGCTCTGCAAGAAATAAACATGGATCTCAGGCCTCTGCTGCTGTGACTGTGAATGTCATGTGTAAGTCTGCCTTAACTTTTAATCAGATCTAGTTGATTATTAGCTTGTGTTACTTCATGTCATTTCACTTTTTGTCTTTATAGATCCTCCAAAGAGCATCGCAGTGTCAATAAATGGATCTGGTGAAATAGTGGAGGGAGATTCAGTGACTCTGAGCTGCAGCAGTGATTCAAACCCTCCTGCTCTGAACTTCAGCTGGTTTAAGGAGAATCAAAGATCAGCTGTTGGATCTGGACAGAGTTTCGGTTTAAGGAGAATCAAAGCTCAGCTGTTGGATCTGGACAGAGCTTCAGCATCTCCAGCTTTAACTCCAGTCACAGTGGACGCTACTATTGTGAGGCTCAGAATCAACATGGATCTCAGAGATCAAAGTCTGTTTCAGTCACTGTTAAAGGTATTTTCTATAAACAGACACTCCTGTGCTGATCAAGTTTAAATGTATTAAGGGTGAAGTCTATCCACTCCCTAACTACATCTGTCATCTATGTTTAAAGACTTTAATAAAAAATAAACTACTTTGTCATTGCCTTTCCACTTAGGTGTTTGGAATATCATGTATATCATTGGTGCATGTGCCACTGTAATTACAGCTGGATTTGGGCTATTTTTTCTCATCATCATCATCATCATCATCATCATCATTATTATGCACAAAAGGTCAGTGACGTCAGTAAATCCTACCTGAAATATGTTTTGTAGATATTTTCAATTCTGGGCAGAGAATATTAGAAAAAACTAATTATGTGACATTGTACATTTTTAACTGTATCCATAATGTACTTGTAATAATGTACTATATAATGCAAACATTGATGGCAGATTGCTCATACTTTAAAAACAGGAAGAAGATAAAAAATAATGACTCTCAGGACACTGACAACCATTTAAATTGCTCTCAGGACATTGAGCAAAAAAAGGTAAGTCAAAGTTAAAAACTCCATATTTCACTGGTCATATTTCATAGACAGTAGAGATGTATCTATACTCAAAAAAAAGCAGAAAAAATGATATTTTGGGAAAAATATTCTCCATCACAGTAAAAAACTGCAAGAATGATAACATGGCAGACATCTTTCTCAATAGAAGTTGCTGTTGATCTGTAGTCATTTCATGGGCCTGCATGTGAACTGATATGTTGCATATTATGACCTTTTTAAATCAGACGTGGGGAGCTGATTTTTATTATTTTTTTTAATTTATTTTGAGGGTTGCTTTAAATTTACAAAAGAAGTTAAAATAAATGTTATGCCACACTAACTCTATTGCAGACATCTGCTGGAAATGCCTCTGAATCTGGAGATGATGACAAGATACTCTATGCTTCTGTCCAGTGTCGCAAAAAACATAAAGACACAAAGAAACCTGAAGAGGATGAGATCCAGTATGCCAGCGTTACAGTTCGCCAACCTGCTACTGAAGCCAAGTGAGACATTATTATTATTTTTGTCTTTACCTTTATGACCTTGTGTGGCCTTTATTTAAAATAAGATCTCAGTTTACGCGGTGTAGTTCAGTTTCTACAGGCATTACAGTTCTAAAACATCTCAACTTCAGTTGTGTGCTCTGTGTTGATCACATGTTTTCTGTTTACAGATCTATGGTGGATCAAGAGAATGATTTGTCTGTGATTTACAGCAGCATCAAAATATCTGCTTAACTGTGGGACTGCGTCTTAAAACATATCTAAACCAGACCATAATAAGAAATGGTTTTCTTGCTTTATTATTTGCATTTTTTAAAATCATGTTCATTTTTTTGAGTGTGCGTTATTAAGCATCTGCTTCTCCAAATTAGTTAAATGCATTGCACCCCATGTAAACCAAAGCAAACTTAACAAACAAATGCCAGACACAGAGTGTTGTCCATGTACCATCTGATCATAGGTTCAAGGGAGGCATCTTGTGTCCTGCATATGTTTTGACATTTTGTTTCTCATTCAAGTCGCACATAGAGCAAAGTAAAATACACAAGCTCTTTACTTTTTTTTTTTTTTTTTTTGTTAAATTGCGTGTCTCAGATTGCTGTTCTCACCAGGCCTTGAAGCTCTTTAGAACAATTAGCTGAAGTCCATTTGTCTGTGTCCGTCAGAGATGTTAACACTGCTATTATGGAGCTGCTGATCATGGCCTATGCACTGAAGACCTCCTGTGCCAAGAACATCATCGGCGTGATCCCGTACTTCCCCTACAGTAAACAGTGTAAGATGAGGAAGAGAGGATCTATAGTGTGCAAACTGCTCGCTTCCATGTTGGCTAAAGCAGGTAATGGTTTATGATTGCTGTCATGTTCCTACTTCTGTTTTAGCAGTAACAGTCAAAAATGTGGACACCACAATCAGTCTTTATTTTTATGGTTGACTGCTTTTTCTGAACTCTCTGCTCCAAATTAAAAATGACCATTTTAGTTGATTGAAAAGAAATTCATACACAATTTATATTTGTCTACATTGACTAATTCATAGCATTTTAGCATTCAAAAAATAGATCAACGATGTCCAATGTGTCTAAAGGTTTTACTGATATGGTTACGTGTTACACCATTATGATCCAGAGTGTTTTTTCAGCAGCTTTTAATAATTTGCAATGTAAACTAGGTCTGACTCATATAATCACCATGGATCTGCACCAGAAAGAGATCCAGGGCTTCTTTACTTTCCCTGTGGACAACCTGCGGGCTTCTCCATTCCTGGTGTGCACTTAAATCAACACCAGAGCACTGCAGGAACATGAAGACATGTCAGACATGGTGAGAGCGGTGACACCTGCTCAGCTGTGGGCAAATATCACATTTACAGAATGTATTGCTGTATTTCATTTGCTAATAAAAAGGTACATTTCAGAGTCATCCCTTGTATTTAAGACTGCAGTTAATATGACTTCTCATGGGAGTGTAAATAGTTAAAAAATGTAAAAAATAAACCTACTATAATAATACTAATGTAAAAAAAAAAAAACTAAGCCCAGTGTACTCTGAAAAGAAAGCTGGATCAATTTGATGTGGAAATGTTTTTATTTTATTTAATAATAAAAACAAAAAAGCTTAGTCATACTCATAACCAATCTTCTCTTATCATATTATAGCGGTCAAAACTCAATAGTGAAACTGCTGAACTAAACCCAACCACTAGGGGGAGCTGAACTCGCCGAGCGCGTGCGAGCGGGATTTAACTTGCTGCTTGAAAGCGCGCGAACATCTTTCTACAACTCACCGGCGTGAGAAAGCGAGATTTGCTGTTTTTTTCCCGTTTAAAATGACCGGTAAAACACAATATAATTTCGGATGTTGTTTAATATCATCTAAAAATGTATGCTACTTAAGTTTCATCACGGAATGGTGAGTAATTTGAATGTTATGTCGAGCATTAGATGCTGAGGTAAGTTAATCAGCTGACGAGGCGACATTGTGTTTTTTGTATTTTAATTTAAAATACGAAGTCATCAACATTACTAAATGGAAAAAAGGGTTTTAAGTGAACTTATTTTGGTCACAGAAGATAAAACTATGAAGGATCTTTTATGGAAAACAAGATGGGATCAGCCACAAGTCAAAGAGTTTACACTCATGAACAGCACCAGTGAAGCAATTATCACAACCTTTATTGAAAATTCATGAAATGTTGTTTGATTGCTGCAAACCTCTGTCAGTGTGAACGGCCCATAGGCATTTAATAAAACTCTTGCGCCTTAAAGCTTTTCCTCATTGCTGTGAGGAGGAAAATTATTTTTAAAAAATAATTTCAGTTGCTTTGGTTTGCCATGGTGTGTAAAAAAGAAAACAAATAAATAGTTGAAACGTGTCGCATAGACCAGTGAATCTCAACCTTTTGGGGTACCGGACCCCAGTCCAATTCAGAACCATCCTCAAGGACCCCCAGAACAAAATTGACTCATCTATGTATCATTTGTTTCTTTGTGAGGACCAAATGCAGTCAAGTATAATTCAAGTTAGTTGACTTGTCCAGTATTTGCCTATATCATCAGCTATATTGGATTTTTCTTTCATGGGAACATGTCATGTCAAAATATACAAAATTTATACAAAAATTCATACTTTATACGGACCCCCTGGCCTTACGTCCACGGACCCCTGGTTGAGAAACACTGGCATAGACGATAGCATACATGGAATTAATCGCCAGTGGACGATTCTACATTATGTTAACATTGAATGGAGAGTCCTACTTCAATTATATTCCATTCTTTTATGTGGCTTGCACTACTGTCCTTGTTTTCTATAAATTCTGTAAGTTGCTGATGAAGTAACCATGTTTGAATGGTTGGTTTGAATGCAGGCTATTGATTGGTGATATGTTGGGAATTGTTATTGTTGCCATGATGGTGGAGACCTGCGTGAAACCTGATGAAAAGAGTCTGGGTCTAGCATACATTACAGTAACTAACTAAGAATACTTAACCATAACTTAAGCTCTACTCAAGGAGTATTGCTCCTTCGACAAATAATTTCGGGTCATATCACTTTATACATAGTAAGGATGTATTGGGAAGTCATGTTGAATAACAATGTGCTACACCCAATCTAGATCTGGATAACTCTCAGGAATGTGCAACTAATATAGTGGTGAGTGGACGATGTACACACAAAACTAATTTTGAGTCTTCTTGTTTTAAACTCAGGAACTGCTTCAATTCAGTGCACAAGTCTTTAGATTGAACAGCTCTGGCAGAAACATGTTTTTGGTTGGTCAGTTTTATTATCATGACGTGGCAAGTGTAAGAGATACAAGTACAGGTTAAACAGGCACTCGTGGGACAACTTTTCACTTCCATGTGTTGTTCATTTGGATGTTTTAGAGAAAACTCAACAGATCTCTATAGAGAAATTTCAAAGACACATCAGCTTCTCTGGTGTCAGTTGTTCAAAATGGTGTGTGAACTGAGTACAGAACTTTAAAACTGTCTGAGCAGATACGTCTGATTGACGAAGACTGTTTTCCAACATCATTTTTAGTTATATTCAGTGTTTTCACATACTCGTATTCAGTTTTTTTACACTAACCGCAGGCTAGTCTAGGGATTCATTAAAGGAACAGTTAGTTGTATTTGCTAAATAATTTAATAGCCCTACACATTTGTCCATTTTAATATGAAACAACCCAGTAGTATTTCAACCCTTCATTGTTGTTTCACATGCAAACTTTACATGCAAAAGGGATATTCATTTACTCAAATAATGCTGTGATTGTATTGCCAAGCGACATGTTTTTGAATCTTGTTCTGTACATTTGATTTTTTGCCATATACTGTTCAGAAATGGTGTTGATGTCTGGACAAATTTTCCAGACAAACTTGTTTTATGCTTGTCACGCATCTTTACTGTCTTTACATGGATCTCTGCAGAAATATTTTATTTTGGTTGAAGCCCAGCTGTAGGAACATGTAATTGTGATGCTTCCTTCACTGTGTCCTTGACTAGAAATTTCGCCAGTAGTTGAATTAAATTCTGTTAGATGAAATATGTTTGTTAGGGCTTGGGAATTAGTAGGAAATATTGTGTTTGTACCGTCAGTTCCTCTTCAAGACTCTTTGGTTTCAGTTATTCATTTGCAAAAGTAACTTACTGTTACACTTACTGTACTTATGGTCTGACAACTTGTAGGAAGTGTGAATGCTTCACAACCACTGTACTTATTTCCTATAAATGTGTAATTTATAGCACAAATGTAAGCAGACGGATTCAATCAGTGGAGAAATTATTTGGTCAGAGAGGTCTGGCTAACACTCATATATATGTATGATATTTCTCTGTATGTTCTTCTGAAAAATCAACTAGATGTTATATCTGTGTTTATATTTTACCCATTGCTTCATTTGGGTTTTTAACACTTACAATTGTTAACCTGGACCCATTAATTTTTTATCTTTTTAACATTATTATTTGCATGTTTATTAGGTCAATAACATTGATTGCGATGCAGCTTGTTTTAATAATTAAATGTTGTCATGCCAATTTTTGTTGCAAGTATCGTAAATTGATACTTGAAGCAAATAAAAGCAAACAAACAATATGGTCTTTTCTTCATCCTATTAAATGCTGCTCCGGGTGTGTGTTCATGGTGTGTGTGTGTGTGTGTGTGTGTGTGCACTTGGATGGGTTAAATGCAGAGCACAAATTCTGAGTATGGGTCACCATACCTGGCCACACGTCACTTCACTTCACTCACTTCACTAAATGCATTACCATTTAATCACTGTTCAATTTCAGACACTGAAATTAAACCAAGTGCGTAAAAGTTTGTTGAACTCATTAAAGCACATGAATTGAGATGAGTACTGTACATGACTGGTTGTCTGTTAAATAAAAAAAAATATGATTTTTAAGTAAATAAAACAAATTTATAAAAAAAAAACAAAGATTATTGGAGTACATTTTATAAAAAAATAGAAGTATTTTATTACTACTACTACTACTAAATAGTAGTTTTTTCTACTTCAAAATGTCGTTTTATTCAATGTGTTACTTGCTGTTTCACAAAGTTACAAATAAATCATACCTGTAGCTGTTTGTGATATTTACTAACAATTTCTGAGTGAAAATTGTTTCCACACCAAATGTTTTTCAGAGTAAGGCAAGGCAAGGCAAATTTATTTATATTGCACATTTCATACACAATGGTAATTCAAAGTGCTTTACATAAAAGTACTTAATCGCTGTAACATTTTAGCATTTCCTTCAGGATTTCATGCTGCATACCACTGGCTAATTAAAGGCAACCCTAAACCTCTTTCAGAATTACCAGTGTGAAATGTTGCTTTACTCCAGTTTAAAAATTTGCCTTTAATACTCTAATAGCACGATAACCCGGAATTATCTGAGAAAAGCCTTAATATGACCCTGAAGAAAATGAGGGCTTTAAAAGGCAGAGGTCTGTGGAAAAACTTGCATGCTGTTTTGAACTTGCAATTCATTTATTTCTTTGCTTTCATCATGCTCAGCAACCTGAAAGTTTCTCATATACATGAGAGTTTCTATCAAACATCTATAAAGAACTTACCTGACAGCAACATCCAAAGCCAGAGAGCACAGATGAACTTCATTTTGAATAGTGATCCTATTATGTCTGGTCTATTCCAGTTTTCGTTTTCTATGCTCTGATATTGAATGACTTTTGGCAATGTTGGAGCTCTGTTATGCCATTAAGCGCAGTAGTAAACATGTATGCCTATGCTCTCCTGTGCTCTCTTTCTCACATGCAAACTAGACACCCACACACTCATATTCAGAACCCGACCACTTCCTCTTGATTAACTTTTGGTTTGAATGGACTTTCCCCTTTCATACAGGACCAGGGTCAGGTTATTTCTGCCTGTCAAGGTTTGAGGTGTGCAGTCTGATTCTAGGCCCGTGTGAAATAACCCCTTCAGAGAGACATGTGCTGCTTGTACGTTAGTCAGAATGATATTTCAGTGGTTTGGAAGTAGTGGGAATATTAAAAGCTGTTCTCCAAATAGTGTAGTTTTTCTAGCAATGCTACTTTTTCCAACAAATAGTGGTGTAGCATGACAAAATGCTAGAGCGTTGTTTTTCAACAGTGTTGTTAATAATGTTGTGTTGCACACACAGCAATAGTTTTGTAAAGTGTTACTGTGAATGGGTTTGTTAGGAGGCTTCATAGGAATTAAAATCCTTGCCTGGCGTTTTTAGGTTGTCATATTACAGCAGAACATTTCAAACTAACTCTC